CGGAAATTAATGTTATTCTACCAGAAGAAACTGAAGAACTGGAAGATGTTATCTTTTGTCGACAGTCACGTATAATAAACGAAGGTATGTTTAACTAGAAGTGATGTTTTTCACAGTGAGAATTTCTATCGACAATGAATACGTTATCAGAAATTCACTGAGAATATGTTCGTGTATCGTACGAATCATCCAAAAACTGGCGCTCAATCATAAAGTGTCGACGAGACTGTGAGTGGATGTGAACGTAGGTTTTTTATTCGTATACTTACCAACACTCACGCTCTTACCCATCGACACCTACATCTACTCATCATCAGGCTTGAAAACACTACAAATTAGTCTATTCCGATTTTTCCTGCGCTCTCAAAGGCTGTCAAAAATGTTTAGAAAATAATAAAATATGCTTGGAAAGTAAAGATCACGGGGAGCGGGTATAATAGCACTGACTGCCTTGGATTTCATGATTAAAGGTTTTAGATACTTTGTTGTGCAGTTTTTGTAGAGATTTGAATAAGAAATCGTTTGTAACGAAGCTTATATTTCTAGGATGGATTTTGGCAGAGATATTAGTAAAACACTGGTGATATCATCGTTGATGCCGCACCTGATACTAACATTTTATGATATTTGTAGTCGAGGAGAAAGCTGACTATTCGTAACAATCCTCCCTTTCAATCACTATGGATCATTCAGATAGATCAGAAAATCACTCTGAAAAAAATGCCTTTTGTCTAGAAAACAGATTTTGAAGGTATATAGGCAAATGTCATGATGATATACGGAATCATCGTAATTGATAAACGTAGACCTAGTGTATATCATCGAAATAACGATTTACCAGTTGCATTGATTCCTTCGTAACTGCATAGAAAAGATTTAGACAGAACTAATAAGAATATTCACAGAAACTATCAGCTAAGTATTTTTACTAGGAAAATAATAATACTTTTTGTTAGAATTTTATATAATAGCATGAATCTTGTCTGTTATTAGTAAAGAAAAGCAATTACTCGGCATTGATATTGAATTTTTATCAGCATCATGTAAATGCTAGTGGTTTCCATAAAAAGCAATACTGTTCTATTTCTAAAAGATAAATTCTCAGATGTGAACAATTCAACTTTTTCCAGGAGACCGTCTGTTTGTGCAGCGTGCGAATACTAATTTAATAAGTTTGTCAAACTATTGTTTTTTTTATCAACATCAACATAAAGCAGCTAAATAATAGTATCAATGCGTATAAGAAAATTCAGAGCAAAACTATCCCAGTAGATGCTATTGAGGCTAGCAGTATCTACCAATGTTTGCAGTAGGATTCGATCGGATTACACAGTAGGTCTTTCGTCTTGGACGGTATTAAAATACTTCTTTAACAGCCAAAACAAAATACTAACATACTCTTAACATAAATACTCAGAGAGTACGATTAATATGGATTCTGCTCTGTTAGAGAGGCAATTAGATGAAAAGTGGTAAAAATATTGATACGAAACATCATTTGACAATTCAGCTCTTATTTTATAATTAATTAAATCCTCATCATTCTAGCACCAGCATCATTTGCACAAGCTCGTATATGGCTTGACGAAAGAATTCGATTCGATCCAGACAAGCCTCAAATAGCCATCTATAATATGCCTTTTGTTTATCGTTTGCAACCAGATCATACATTATCGATTAAACAACTTCGTCATGCTCTTCATCTCACTGTTGACAAACATCCCTCACTCCATACATCAGTCATCTTTGATACAGAAATGAATCAACTTATGCAGCGAGTTATTACGCGAAAAGATAACTACACTGATGTGTTTTCAATCATCGAAACTACTCATGAAACAGATGAACAGTTGAATGAAATTTTGCATGACGAGAAACGTAATCCTCAACATTTTGATCCTGCTCAAGGTCT